TACGAATTTTAAACATTTCCATAAACTTGTTTGATATTCTTTGTGGCTACAGAGGCATTGTTTCCCTTCTTGTATTTAAACAGCATTACATGCTGAATGTGTGTCTCGTCGTGTGGCATCACGACGTGACATTTAAGTGGTTCGTTTAACTATTGTACATGATGCACTTTTTTTGGGGGGGGGTAATGAAAGTGTTCCAAAATGCAACATTAATTTCTTAACGACCTAATATTTACAAGTTGAATAAAAAAAATTCTATTTAGTTATATTTTAAACTCCCTTGTAACAAAAATCTATAAAACATTTTTAGTGATGACTTAGTAATAAAATTAAAACTGTAAACTAGTATTAAAGTAAGTAAAATTTTAAATTTATCTACAAAATTGAAATGTAGAACATTTACTTATGATTTTTTCAAATGAATTCTGATGATCCTAAAGTTTCCAAAGAAACAGAGTGAAAAAAGCAAAAGACACTCAGTCTCGTAAAAAATCATGGACTTTTGCACTTTCTACGATACTGTTTGTTGCATTTGGATACAAAGATGATCTTAAGAAACAAGCATATAATATAGATTTAAAAATCTCAAAAATACTAAAATGTATTTGAAAGAGCAAGGAAAACAAAAAGTATGTTGAATTTTGTATCAGTTGCATTCATAGTAGAAAATAAACTTCTATTCTACACAAACTGGAAAGTTATTAAAGCTATGGATATCTTGAATTTAGGTAAACAGAAAGTAACCAATATTACCATACTTTAGTCATTTTGCTGAGAAGTTAAGAGCTACAACTTTTTCAATAATCACAAATGAAACTACTGATAGAACTATATAGTTGAAAGTGTTTGCAGTTCACTGCTATAATGATTTTGACATTAAAATTGATGTTATACATCTAATTAGTTGCCAGAGGGGTTTACAAAGACTTTATATAATGAGACAGTATCATCAAATGAAAAATTCACATATCTGTAAGAAACATGGTTGGATTTTGTACTAATACAATAAAATGCTCTGAGGTGGGTTAATTAAACACATCTATGATCAAAGACAATTTTCCATGGATTGTAATGACAAACATAGTTGCCACACGACACATCTAGCTATTTCAAATAGCTGCAAAAACAAACCTCCTGTCTTTTAAGACCTTCTAACATACATAACTATTTTTGTTTCAGTAATAAATGGAAAAAGCTTTCAGAGGAATTTCAGTTATTTTCAGACTAAAATACACAATATTCTGGTGTAAGCCAAGACCAGATGGTTTTCACTGAAGCAATGTGTCAATAGGCTGCTTGAACAGTGAGTTGCGTTGCAAATATATTACATGTCATTTGTCTTTGAATATCCTACACATATCAATAGACTATCTTTCCCAGTTACACAATTCATAGATGAAAGTTTTGCTCAAGCCTGTATGTTATTCATTTGACATCCTCAGTTCTATCAGCATTCTATTTCAAAGTGATACTCCATTTTCCACAGACTACTTTTAAAAAAAAATCAAAACATTTGCTAATGGCTTCACAATTACGAGATATGTGAAACCAATTAATGACATTATGACTACTGATGAAAAGAAAGTGTGTGATTAAGTATCTTAGCAGAGTCTACACAATGACAGACCTAAAAATAAATGATGCAACTATAAACCATAAAAAAGTTGCCAAGATCTATTCATCAGCCAGAGAATTCTACAAAGTCATTTGTGAGATAAAACAGATTCCAGTTTGAAGATTTAACCTTCAAGCATGCCAAGACTGTATACCCTATGAATGGCCAAAATTAAAGCCAAGAAGCTTAATCTTCCAGACTAGTCAATTGACAAGTTTAGCTCCCCAACAAAATGACCATTAACTCTTTCAGCACAGGCTTGGTCCCTGGGATCAACCTCGTAACCATTTTGTGATTGTTATAGTTTTCATGCTATAACTTTTAAATTAGTAAGCAAATGTTAACGAAATTTGGCAGATTATCAGCAAACATTACAATGCTTTTATATGCTAAGTATCAGATTTTTTCTTAAGTCTTAAGATTTATAAAGCAATGTTTTTCTCATGTCTTTTTT